TTGTTAGTGAATATGAGGTCTAGTGTATTCTCCAGTCTAGTAGGCTCTATTATTTGCTGGTTTAAATTGAATTTTGTGCAGAGATTTAAAAGCTCGTGTGAGTGTGAGTTTTCATCAGAGCTGCCTCCTGGTGTTATTTCTCGCAACAATATTATTTGCTATATTCCTCCATTTTAGGTGCCTTAAGTTGAAATCCCCCAGGAGCAAGATGTTGGGTGCAGGAGCTGGAAGATTTTCCAGACAGTGGTCAATTTTTAACAGCTGTTCCTGGAATTGCTGGGAAGTTGCATCCGGAGGCTTGTAGACTACCACAATGACTAGGTTTTGGTTCTCGACCTTTACTGCTAAAACTTCCACTACGTCATTTGAGGCATTAAGCAGTTCTGTGCAAACAAGTGACTCTGCAATGTACAGGCCAACCCCCCCCTTTTGCCTGTTCACTCTGTCACATCTGTATAGGTTGTAACCTGGGATCCATATTTCGTTGTCCAAGTGATCCTTTATGTGGGTCTCAGTGAAAGCCGCGAACATTGCCTTTGCCTCTGCAAGCAGTCCACGGATGAAAGGTATTTTGTTGTTTGTTGCTGGCTTTAGACCCTGTATATTTGCAAAGAAGAATGTTATCGGACTGGTGGTATTGTTGGTACTGGGGGGGGATTTTTCAAAGATTTTTGAGAGAGGGTGTAAGTTGGATATTGGACTATAGTTATTCAACTCTGTTTGGTCTCCTCCTTTGTGGATCGGGGTGACCCTTGCTATTTTGAGTACTGTAGGGAGGGTGGAGGATTCAATGGATTTGTTAAAGAGTGTTGCAATGATTGGTGATAGCACTTGTGACACTTTTTTGTATATAAAGGGTGGTAAGGTATTTAAATCTCCTGCCTTGTTTTTTAGTGCGTTGATAATAAGGGAGACTTCGTATGGGTTAGTCGGAGCTAGGAACAGTGTGTTCGGGTAGTTGCCGGTGAGGTAGTCATTTGGTGGGGTATCTGAGCTTGGGATTTTATTGGCAAGGTTTTGTCCTATAGTGGAGAAGAAATCATTGAGTCTGTTTGCTGTTTCTGTTGGTGGGAGTTGGGGTTCATCAGATTTTGCTAATTTTATTTTGCTATTTCGTGATATCTTTTTTGTTCCCAGAATTTCTGATAGGGTTTTCCAGGTCTTTTTTATATCCACCCCTTACACATTTTACATAAGGTGTCTTTTCTGTTCTTCTTTCGTACTTTAGTGCAGTGTATGCACCTGTTTGGTGGTGTTTGAGATAATAAGAATGGCTGTATTGTCTCATCTTAACCTATGTTTGCATTACATATGGAGTTAAGGTTATTCCTAGCTACTAGACCGTCATTATCACTGTCACTTATCTGCCTGTTTTGCCTCTGCACAATAGTTTGAGGTCCTGGGTTAGTTTGGATATCACCACTTAACAGCACCACTGTAAGAGCTGTGCCACTGTTTTTGTTTGGGTATGTGGTGTTGCCATACCTTGCAGCGATAGTGACATTTACGTTTCTGGTAGGATGGCAACTGTTGGGCTTTTACTGTCCAGGGTTCTATTACCCCATTTGCCTTTTCCAGCCCCCATGACTGATTTCCTTCTTCACGGAATTGCAGGAGAAAGATAAATGTAATTATGACAGCCTGTACCCCCCTAATGCCTACCATTTTCACTCTTCACTCTTTTAATCACACACAACAATATTTATTTCTCTTTTCCAGTCACCTAGCAAACCCTAGTAGCTGCTCTAGCAGTCACCACTGATTACTAGTAAATTTTCTGGTATCTAATTCAAAACCCTCTTCACTCCTCAATTATCCCTTTACTTCACAAACCCCTTTCACTTATCCCCTTATTTCACACCCCCCTTCATGCCTCACTTCACATTCTGGCTTCACCTATTACACTTCTCACTCATTTCCATTCTGGCATGACCAGAAAATTTTAATCAATGGCGTTATCCGTCCAAATCCTCCTCAATTCCATTTATCGGAATTGCATCGTGTTGTTGACTGCCTGACCTGGTCTGCTGTTTCAGCCATTTTTAAAAGCACTGAGGGAAGAAAACGCCACTACGACCTGACTTTCCTTGGAGTTTTATAGATAGATTTGGCGTTTTCTCCTATGAATCTCTCACTGTACACTGGTCAGCTGAATATAGGTCAGCTACTAAAACATTAACCTTGGCTGTTTAACTATTCACTTCTTTCCCATGATTGGCACTGAGGGATAACCGTCGCTATATGATAGTTTCCTTGGAGTTTTGTATTGTAGATTTGATGATGTCTCCTGTGTTTCCCTCTCGTTAACCCTGGTACAGGTGATATGATGGTGGTGCAGCTGATATGATGCTACTGTCAGTACAGATGAACGTCAGTATAGATGAGAACTTCACTTCGCTAGTTGTAAGTCTGGCAGTAGCTGGTGTTTGGATGCCGGTCAGCCATGTTTAAATGCTCAATTCATTCCCTCATTTGGCATTGAGGGACAAAACAGTCCTACAGACCTGTCATTTCCTTGGAGTTTTGTTGTTAGGTTTTCTCCCATGTTGACTTCCCATTGAACACTGTGCAATTGATATGGAGGTCAGTTATTTCAGTGTAGTGGAAAACGTCTCATGTCTGGTTCACGTCTGGCAGCAGGTCTGGTACTTGAATGCCGGTCCCTCTTTTGGTTACATTTAGTCCATTTCGTTGTTGTCACCATCAGTTTTCATGTCACTATGGGTTCCTTGCATGTTGTTGCAGCAGTACTTGCAATTAAGCCATCACTGGAGTTCTGATAGGCCCAGGGGATGGCAAAATATAGGAGCAGCCTTGTTGTTGCTTGCTGTCACTCAGGCATCAACTCAAGTATTCTTGTTTTTTTGGTCTCATTTGATGGAATGGAAGATATATTACAGAAATAGATATCATTTTGATTGCTTTCAAAACTAGCAGTACCTTAAAATTGAGCTCAAAGTAGCAGAAATGTTCGATTCTTTGGTGATGTTCAAGAGTAAACAAATGACGTCACCGTCCAATACATGTCCACCTGGCCAGTCTCATATGCAGTCATGAAAGGGTTGACATTATTTATACAATTATTACAATAATGCAGTAGTCTGCATAATGGTAAATCTTCTATTTTTTGTGTGAATAAAAATTCCAAATGGTAAGCAAGAGTATTATTATAAGAATATGTACGTACTAATTATAATAATAATGCATTGGAGCTATGTAATGACGCTTGCGTAAGTCATTTCCGAAACATTCTAAAAGGGAGGAAGAAACAAACATCCTTGGACAGTTTTTTTACTGAAATGCCCTGCAGATGAAAGTGTGACAAGCGTGGAGAAAGAGCCAAAAATCAATGAATAGTAACATTAAAATAAAAATTGTAGCAGTTAAGTGTGTTGGAGCTATGTGATAAAGTTTACTGTGCCCAACATCACTTCTCCATCTCCAAGGTAAATGCTGTATTATTACGTAATTTCTTTACATTATGTATTACTATTTTTATTATTATTATTACTGTTTTCCTTTTGAAAGTAAATAATAGTATTTCTTACCTTAAATTGTGGGTGCTGGTGTTTGTGGATGATTGTGAAGAGAGTGGAGAGTTATGTTGTGGTCCTACTGGGCTGAGGTGGATGGTAAAGGTTCTGGTACTGAAGTTGATGGTTGTACTGGAGTGTGTATAAATTCTGTGATGGATTTCTGTTCTATTTTACCCTGCAGTACATTACACAACTGACGGTAAGGCATCAGCTGCTCTAGACACCGTTTCAAGGTCAGTCAGTCAGTTAAGTCAAGTCAGTCAGCCAAGTCAGTCAGTCAAGTCAGTGAGTCAAGTCAGTCAGTCAAGTCAGTAAGTCAGTCAGTTAAGTTAGTAAGTCAGTCAGTCAGTCAGTCAGTCAAGTGAGTAAGTCAAGTCAGTCAAATCATTCAGTTAGTCAGTCAGTCAAGTGAGTAAGTCAGTCAGTCAGTCAAGTGAGTAAGTCAGTCATCAGTCAGTCAGTCAAGTCAGTGAGTCAGTCAGTAAGTCAGATATGGTATTAAAAGATCAAAACACAATTCACAATTCAACAAGAGAGAGAAGTGGAAGTGAACATGTATTATTCACGAAAGCTGGGATGGTGGTGTCGAGTGTCGGAGAATAGCGGAAGGTGTCTCCCGCTCACCCACAACAAGGTGGCTTGAGGTAGGGAATGGCTGCCACTTGTCACATAATGACATAGTATTTTATTCATTCTAGAGTATATATCAGGTTTCTATGTTATTTATATTGTTTAATATGTCATATCAGATGAATTGTGATAGATAAATAAGCCACAAAGTTGATATTAGCAAAATATTTTGTTGTGCCTCCTGAGAGCCGGAACAGATTAATTGTATTTCAATTAATTTAAATGAGGAAAATTGACTCAGCATACGAGGAAATCGGGATACGAGCAAGGTCACAGAATATATTAAACTCGTAAGTAGAGGTTCCACTGTATTTAGATAGAGGGAAGACATCAATTTAATTTGTTACTGTACATGAAGGCAGAGACAAATAAAAAAAAAAGGCATACAGTAGTACAGCCAGGATTTCAGTTTTAAGAGTTTAAGCCAGGATTTCAATCTGTGGGATTAAAAATTGCAAGATGCTATAAAAGTCAAAGAAACTGTCTTTAAAATATGATTTTCAGCATGGAAAATTTCTCAAATTAGCAAGATTTCATAGCCACTGGTCAATATATTACTGTGAAAATTAGCAATTAATTAAAAAAAAGTAAGTATTACATCTGGAAAAGACTTTTGCCTCTCTTAAGTTCCACCCCTCCATGGCTGTGCCACTGCAGGCACATAAATGTTTGTGACCAACTTTTGGCAAAAAAGCAGGGAAGAATTACTTGGGCAATTTTTAATACGAAAATGTTCTTAGAATGAACTCCCAAATGGTCTAAGCAGTCAATGTTTCCAGACAGTTTAATACACAACTTAACAATTAATGTGATACATTACAATAATTACACTACCTCCAATATCTTGTCCACTCATGTAGTAGTAGAACTCAAAGCAATAGTCTCCTCCAAGTATGACTGGTGATTTCAACACTGCTTCTGCGCCTGGCCAACCAGTACGGGCACTCATAAACATGTAATGACCTGCAAATATAAAAAAAAAATTATCACACCTCTGCTTACAGTAAATGTAAAGTGACAATGACAAGTCTAATTGTCAATAATTTTAAAATGAAAGTGACAGTATTGCCTTACTTTTTAATATAACAGTACAAATTAAAAATGAAATATATACTAATGTATAATTAAGACCTAGGTAGTAGGTTGGTAGACAGCAACCGCCCAGGGAGGTACTACCGTCCTGCCAAGTGAGTGTAAAACGAAAGCCTGTAATTGTTTTACATGATGGTAGGATTGCTGGTGTCCTTTTTTCTGTCTCATGAACATGCAAGATTTCAGGTACGTCTTGATACTTCTACTTACACTTAGGTCACACTACGCATACATGTACAAGCATATATATACACACCCCTCTGGGTTTTCTTCTATTTTCTTCCTAGTTCTTATTCTTGTTTATTTCCTCTTATCTCCATGGGGAAGTGGAACAGAATTCTTCCTCCGTAAGCCATGCGTGTTGTAAGAGGCGACTAAAATGCTGGGAGCAAGGGGCTAGTAACCTCTTCTCCTGTATATATTACTAAATGTAAAAGGAGAAACTTTCGTTTTTCCTTTTGGGCCACCCACCTCGGTGGGATACAGCCAGTGTGTTGAAAGAAAGAAAGAAAGTATAATTAAGAGTAATAATAATAACAATAATAATAAAATTTGAATCCCTGGAAAAATATGAGATATTAAGAGAGAATTTTCCAGTATACTGATAAAAAACAGGATGGAAAAATTAATCAACTGTGTAATGTCTCATACAAAAATTGACTGAGAGACCTGAAATTGTACTCTCTTGAAAGACATAAGCAGAGGGAGGCATGTGTCACACAACAAAAAGTAACAACACAAACCTAACCTAACACTGAATATACATGTAATGCCACAATATTATGTTAAGATGTTTTCAGTCTCTACATGTCATGCACTGTCAATAAATGACTAACTTAAGTTTTTGTTTCACTGCTTTACTTTGCTTAAGAAATTGAATAAAACATAATTTTTTTTACATATATGTAATACCATCATATATATATTGTGCTGTCAATGTGTACAAGTGTATGTGTATAATGTTTGTCCGGAAACAGGACAAGAATTTCCTGGTATGGGTCTGTTATACAATGGCCCACAGACGGAGATTTTGGTCAGCTGACTGAGGCCTTCCACTGGCTTACCGGTCCACCCCTTTAAAAATTACGATTATGATTATAACCTAGTCTCTTCATGTATAAAGTCATGTACTGTCAGTTAATAACTGATTTAAAATATTTTTTGTTTTATTACTTTCATTGTTTATGGTATTTAAAACAAGACAAATACACAAAAGCACTAGAGAAGGGAAGAAACTTCTGTACTTGTTACCCAGCAACCCTAAACCAGCACACATGTATGGTTTACCCAAGACCCATAAACATAATATTCCTCTCAGACCAGTTACATCAGGTATAGGCAGTGCACCACACAAACTAACTGCAGAGTTCTTGCCAAACATCTTTCCTGCCTTCTGGGGACCGGTGGCCTGGTGGCTAAAGCTCCCGCTTCACACACGGAGGGCCCGGGTTCGATTCCCGGCGGGTGGAAACATTCGACACGTTTCCTTACACCTGTTGTCCTGTTCACCTAGCAGCAAATAGGTACCTGGGTGTTAGTCGACTGGTGTGGGTCGCATCCTGGGGGACAAGATTAAGGACCCCAATGGAAATAAGTTAGACAGTCCTCGATGATGCACTGACTTTCTTGGGTTATCCTGGGTGGCTAACCCTCCGGGGTTAAAAATCCGAACGAAATCTTATCTTATCTTAATCTTAGCCCCGCTCATCTTAAGCATTCAAGCAACCTTCTCAACCGCATCCGAAACCTCTCCATCTGTAACAAGAAACTAAGCAGTTTGGACGTGACTTCCCTCTTCACTAAAGTACCTACCACACAAGCCATCGAGGTTCTATGACATAAAGTCAATCAGGACCTTAATCTTCCTCTACCTCCCGAAGATTTTGTTGACCTAATTGAACTCTATGTTAATTTTAACTGGTTTTTCTTTCAATAACAGGCTCAACAAACAAACCTACGGCATGGGAATGGAGTCCTCCATCAGTGCTGTCTTAGCCAACTTGTACGTGGAACGCCTAGAGGCTGAACACTTTGCCAACATCATCCCCTCAAGCGTCACTTGGTTATATTACATGGACAACGTCCTCGTAATAACTCCCAAAAGTTTTGATGTACGGAATCTTCAGGCAAGGCTCAAAGCAACTGAACTGGTGATCCAGTTTACACTAGAAAAGAGTCCAATGACAAGTTACCTTTTCTAGACGTCCTCATTCACAAAGTAGATAACAACCTAAGATTTCAAGTTTACCAGAAACCTACAAAAAAAGATGATCTCACACACTTCTATTCCAGTCAAGATACTAAGACCAAAAGATGCATCACCATCATTGGATTTTTCCTAAAAGCATGCCATATTTGTAGTCCTGAGTTTCTTGACGAGGAATGTACATACATTTACCAAACCTTCACTGATTTACATTTTCCTTCCATTTTCATCAAAGATTGTAAGAAAAAAGCTCTTCTGATCACTAATTCTTCATGGACCAACACCACTCCTAACAGTTATAATTCTTCCCAACAGCCAGGTTGCACTGAATGCTTCTAAAGTACTCGCACAAGCTAACACTAGAGTTGCCATCGCTTCCAGCACTTCAATAAAGGCTCTAACCTGGACAAAATCCAAGCACCATGAACCAGTCAACACAAGGGTTTACACTATACCCTGTGGAGACTGCAACAGGATTTATGTAGGTGAAACAGCGAGAAACCTCGAAATCCGCCTCAATAAACACATTTATGCATGTTGGAATGATAACTTGAACAACGCCTGCGTACAACACAGAAATTCCACCAATCATCTCACGAAATTCGAGGACGCCCGATTAGTTATCAAAGAAATTAATTTCCGCAGATGCAAGTGCCTTAAATCAGCATTAATCGCTGTTTCAAATACAATTAAACAAAACAAAGGCAGCTTCACCATCTCTGAAGTCTTAGCAAGAATCCTCCTGAAAACAGTGAGCCCTGCCATCACAGTCTCTCCTGATAATATACTACACAAGCACATTACAGAGGATGAACACTGAAACAGGCCTTCTCTAATCCAACCATCCTATAGAAATATTTGTTTATCCTATTTTTATGCTACCCAAGTAATAGCTTTTATATCCTCTTACTCATGTGCGAGTTAATGGTTCTAGCATATTGTATTACTACTACTACTACAACTTATATCACTACTACTATGACCACTAGTATTACACCTCACTCTAAGCCTATATATACACTCTGTGTCCATGTATTGCTTGTAACAGCTTGACAAAGCTCCTGGAGAGCAAAACGTTGCCACAATAAAATGTCACATTAGTTGCATTTGTGTCCTTTTACTTTACAAATAAAATGTGACATTTTTTCCTAGCCAAAACTGACTTATTTTAAAGTGATTTTTTTTCCAGACACTGACTGAAGTACATGATACAAGTAGAAGACAGATATGAATAAGGTGCAGAGGATGCCCAACCAAGAAATATGTAACTCAAAACACTGTATTCAAGCTGGATAAATTCAGATTTAGAAAGGATATAGGAAAATAATGGTTTAGAATCAAAGTTGTAGATGAGTAGAATTATCTGCAAAGTAAGACTGTTCAAAGATAGTTCCTTGGGTAACTTCAGATGATATTATTATTACTGTATAATCAAAACCAAGCGCTAAACCCACCAGGGTTATACAGCGCTGATTACAAATGATAAATTACACAAATGTATATGTGATTAGGCATTTGATTTGAGAAGGACCTCCTTAGTATGTGTTAGTAGAAAATACTCTTCTATTCTACTGAGGAATATCCAATGAACTTAACTATACTCGTACAGATATCGCATATATAGTACCTACCATATGGTGTCTTTAATGTATTGTCAGACAGTGGTCCTGAGTTTTCTGCTGCATGTGAACCAGACTGTATTAGCCAAGTTATGCCAGTGTCAGGGTCATCTGTCCAGTCACACATTCCATCCTCAAAATTGCATGTAGCTGCTGCCGGACAAGCTCTTGCTTCTATTGATATATCGTCAATGGCAATGATGATATCATCAGTATCGATGTAGACATATCCTTCAAACTGAACCTGTAAAATATGGAAAATAAAATTGCCACTGACCATATACTGTATTTCAAAAAGTCTTAATGAACTAGTCTCTGTTTTTTACGTTACAGGATAAAATTACACAAACGGCCAGAATACAATGATCTTTTTGTTTTAACAAGTCGGCCATCTCCCACCGAGGCAGGGTGACCCAGAAAGAAAGAAAATCCCCAAAAAGAAAATACTATCATCATTCAACACTTTCACCTCACTCACACATAATCACTGCTTTTGCAGAGGTGCTCAGAACACAACAGTTTAGAAGCATATACATATAAAGATACACAACATATCCCTCCAAACTGCCAATATCCTGAACCCCTCCTTTAGAGTGCAGGCATTGTACTTCCCATTTCCAGGGCTCAGGTCTGGCTATATAAAAATAGCCAGTTTCCCTGAATCTCTTCACTAAATATTACCCTGCTCACACTCCAACAGATCATCAGGTCCCAAACACCATTCGTCTCCATTCACTCCTATCGAACATGCTCACGCACGCCTGCTGGAAGTCCAAGCCCCTCGCCCACAAAACCTACCTTACCCCTTCCTTCCAACCTTTTCGAGGATGACCCCTACCCTGCCTTCCTTCCCCTACAGATTTAAATGCTCTCCATTTCATTCTACTTTGTTCCATTCTCTCTAAATGACCAAACCACCTCAACAACCCCTCTTCAGCCCTCTGACTAATATTTTTATTAACTCCACACCTTCTCCTAATTTCCACACTCCGAATTTTCTGCATAATATTTTCACCACACATTGCCCTTAGACAGGACATATCCACTGCCTCCAACTGCCTCCTCGTTGCAGCATTTACATCCCAAGCTTCACACCCATATAAGAGTGTTGGTACTACTATACTTTCATACATTCCCTTCTTTGCCTCCATAGATAACATTTTTTTGTCTCCACATATACCTCAACACACCACTCACCTTTTTTCCCTCATCAATTCTATGATTAACCTCATCCTTCATAAATCCATCTGCCAACACATCGACTCCCAAGTATCTGAAAACATTCACTTCTTCCATACTCCTCCTCCCCAATTTGATATCCAATTTTTCTTTATCTAAATCATTTGATACCCTCATCACCTTACTCTTTTCTATGTTCACTTTCAACTTTCTACCATTACACACACTCCCAAACTCATCCACTAACCTTTGCAATTTTTCTTTAGAATCTCCAATAAGCACAGTATCATCAGCAAAAAGCAATTGTGTTGATTCCCATTTTGTATTTGATTTCCCATATTTTAATCCCACCCCTCTCCCGAACACCCTAGCATTTACTTCTTTTACAACCCCATCTATAAATACAGTGGACCCTCGCCTAACGATGGCATCGCATAACGTTAAATCTGCCTAGTGATACATTTTAACGCAAAATTTTTGCCTTGCCTAGCGCTAAAAAACTCGCTCAACGCGATTCGTCCGAGACACGTCCACGTGCGGCCTGAGCCAGCCTCACTTGTTCCGTGGGTGGCAGCGTTTACAAGCCAGCCTCCGCGGTCACATCCAAGCATACAATCTGAACATTTCATATTATCACAGCGTTTTTAGTGATTTCACCTGCAAAATAAGTGACCATGGGCCCCAAGAAAGTTTCTAGTGCCAACCCTGTGGTAAAAAGGGTGAGAAATACTATCGTACCACAGTCAGCTGCTGCTGCACCACCGTCAGCTGTTGCTGGACCAGTCAGCTGTTGCTGCACCACAGCTGCTGCTGCTGCACCTCGGTCAGCTGTTGCTGCAATACAGTCAGCTGCTGCTGCACCACAGCTGCTGCTGCACCACAGTCACCTGTTGCTGCACCAGTCAGCTGTTGCTGCACCACAGTCAGCTGTTGCTGTTGCTGCACCACCATCAGCTGTATTACTCAAAGATGTGGAGAGTGTGTTGTTGGTATGGCTTAACATGAAACAATTACCGAGAACGATTAACCCCAGAGGATTAGCCACCCAGGATAACCCAAGAAAGTCAGTGCATCATCGAGGACTGTCTAACTTATTTCCATTGGGGTCCTTAATCTTGTCCCCCAGGATGCGACCCACAAGTAAGTAAGTACGTAAGTTTATTCAGGTATACACAAATACAGTTACATGGAATTATCATACATAGCAGCATATGTGTAGAGAACCTAGGATAACCCAAAAAAGTCAGAATTATTTTTTTGACTAACACCTAGGTGAACAGGAAAAAATGCCTGGAACTAGTGCTCATATTGGTGAGGTTAGTGGGGAGGATGTGGAAGAGTTGGTGGAGGAGAACAATGACGAACTAACCATTCATGACCTGCTAGATCATCTTCAACAGCAAGAGGCCAGACCTGAAGAAACTGCTTCAGAGGAGGGGAGAGAGAAATTGAAGAAGTTGCCTACTTCAAAGATTAAGGAAATGTGTGCAATGTGGCTTGAAGTGCAAACCTTTTTTGATGAAAATCACCCTGACACAGCTATTGCAAGCCATGCTGGTGACTATTACACTAACAATGTTGTGAACCACTTTAGGAAAGTCATAAAGGACAGATATATTGTGAGACATAGGTCCAGTGACTCTTAAGCTGGTCCTAGACAAGTGTCCTAGACACTTAGTAAGGCTCATTGTGACAGTGTCTGGTTCATTTCTTAACATTCTAATACCGAGTACAGTGTTAAACTCAACAATCCTATCATTGATACTAGAAATACCTAGCTCCTTCCTCATATTAAGAACCTTTGTAGATTTGGGACAACCAAGAATAATTCTGAGAGCTTCATTTTGCATTAACTCCAAAGGTCGGAGGGAACTTTCTCTAGCTAATATCAACATGGGAGCAGCATAATCAATTAAGGACTTAACATAGGCTATGTACATCATTCTCACGATTCTCACATTAACACCATAGTTGGGGTTGTAGCCAGCAACAGCTTTGAGAGCATTTAGCCTATCTTTGCATTTCTTATTTAGTTGTGGTATAGTGGATTTGTTAAAGGGTACATCTACACCAAAATATCTGTAAGTTTTAACGCAGCTAATGCTTTGCCCAATAGATGGGTGGGGGATGTCGTTTGCTTGTTAATATCTTTGTTTTAGAGGAAGATATTATGAGGCCTAGTCGATTACAAATTGCTTGAACTTCATTAAGAATGGTATTCATCTTCTTATGTCCTGTTGTGTGGATCATGATGTCATCAGCATAGCTTATAGCTATATGATTACGTGAAGCAGGTAGAGCATTTAGGAGAGCATTAATCAGAATATTAAATAGCATGGGTCTGAGAACTCCTCCCTGTGGTGTATCTAGGGACATTTAGACTCACTTCTAAAGCCTTGGTAGAGGACAGAGGATACTCTATTTGACAGGTATCCTATTATCCAGCAGAGTAAGCTACCACCAATATTCATTTTGGCTAGTTCATGTAGTATAACGGTTCTGTTCGTGATATCAGATGCAGATTTTAGATCAAGAAATGTGGTAAAAATAGTAGAGGTGTGTGCAGTGAGAAAGATGGAAATACAGTTCTGCACACTTTTACCTTTCATGAACCCATAGAGGTAGGGGGAAAGTTGGTGTCTGATTCTGTAGTACAGTCTGTTAAGTATCATTCTTTCAAAAGTTTTACAAAGACAACTAGTTAAGGAGATCGGTCTAAATGTATCAGGCTATTGGGGCTTAGGGATAGGCACAATGAGACTATTGGTCCAGGAAGTAGGAAGAACACCCTCAATGTAACTGAGATTATACTGTGCCAACAAAGGGTTATCAGGCACTTGCCTTAGAGTTCTGAGAATATCATAGGTTATACCATCCTCTCCAGGAGCAGTTGATCGACCTTTAGTTAATGCATTATAAGATAAGATAAAATAAGATTTCGTTCGGATTTTTTAACCCCGGAGGGCTAGCCACCCAGGATAACCCAAGAAAGTCAGTGCGTCATCGAGGACAGTAACTTATTTCCATTGGGGTCTTTAGTAAGTAAGTAAGTAAGTTTATTCAGGTATACACAAATACAGTTACATAGAATTATCATACATAGCAGCATATGTGTAGAGAACCTAGGATAACCCAAAAAAGTCAGACAGTGACTTATTTCCATTGGGGTCCTTTAATTTCCATTGGGGTCCTTTCCTTAGTCTTGTCCCCCAGGATGCGACCCACATCAGTCGACTAACAGCCAGGTACCTATTTGCTGCTAGGTGAACAGGACAACAGGTGTAAGGAAATGTGTCGAAATTGCTTCCACCCGCCGGGAATCGAACCCGGGCCTTCCGTGTGTGAAGCAGGAGCTTTAAGATAAGATTTCGTTCGGATTTTTAACCCAGGAGGGTTAGCCACCCAGGATAACCCAAGAAAGTCAGTGCGTCATCGAGGACTGTCTAACTTATTTCCATTGGGGTCCTTAATCTTGTCCCCCAGGATGCGACCCACACCAGTCGACTAACACCCAGGTACCTATTTGCTGCTAGGTGAACAGGACAACAGGTGTAAGGAAACGTGTCGAAATGTTTCCACCCTCCGGGAATCGAACCCGGGCCCTCCGTGTGTGAAGCGGGAGCTTTAGCCACCAGGCCACCGGGCCACCAGGTGAAGAGGCAGTCACTCTCATCAATATTTTGGCTCATAAAATTAATCAGTTTCAACATTTCTTCAGAAGCACTCTCTAAATTTGTTTTAATATGCGATGGAAGGTTTTCATGCCTAAATGTTTTGGACCACTCATTTATGAGGTCATTTGCTTTTTGAAGAGGGAAGGGATGAGCAACACTGCCAGTCTTTTTCCTGGTTATTTTATTTATACCTTTCCAAGCCAGACTTAAATGGGGGGGGGCCTATTTAATCCACTAACAAGTTGTTCCCATTCCTGTTGCCTAAGTTCTTGCTTTCTATTCCTTGCATTTGTTAGTGCAGCTTGGAACGTTCTGAGCAGGTCTAGGGTTCTACACTCACGGTATGCTTTACCAATCCTCCTAGTTGCATGTGTTTTTATTGTCAGTTATAGTAGAAAGTCTATGCTTTCTTTTCCTGCCCACTTGATCTGTGAGCAGTCTCAATAGTGGCAACAAAATCATCATTGAATTGTTGTGTATCAATGGGCTCGTAATTCTTATACCATTGATCCAAGTGGTTAATAAAGTTGTCTCTGTGCTCTGGGTTGAGAATAAGTTTCCTCCTTCTGTATTTAGCTCCTTGATTACTGGAGATATAATCAAGATTGACAGCTGTGAGTCTAGGGAAGCGAGCACATTGGGGACTAGTCCCTCTGAGTAAGTGTATTTTTGTTCTTATATTTCTTTTAAAGTATGAGAGAGAGAGAGAGAGATTTTTTATCAAATATTTTATATAACATAAATATCATGCTAATTTTCAAGATAAAGTTTGAAATGTGATCAAATTAAATTCTTTGGAGGAAAACTGGGTATATCAAGTTCATGAACAAAAAAGAACAATAACGTGACTGGAACAGTACACAAATAACCCGCACATGGACAAGCACCTAAAGTCAGTTCCTGATCAGCCGGGCTGTGGCTCGTACGTTGGTTTGCGTGCAGCCAGCAGCAACAGCCTGGTTGATCAGGCGCTGATCCACCAGGAGGCCTGGTCACAGACCGGGCCGCGGGGGCGGTGACCCCCGAAACTCTCTCCAGGTAAACATGGGAGAGAGGAGCTTACGATGACGTTTCAGTTCAACTTGGACCATTTACAAAGACACTAACAAAGGAGAGAAGGACGCAGTATATATAGGCCGACTGACAGGAAAGGAAGTAGAGGTAGTGGTAGCAGTGGAATCAGTCAAAGGCCAAGAAAGAGGAGCGCTGCAAGAGAGCTAAGGGTCCACCAGGGGAAAGAACATAAACACAGGGGGAGGAGGGGAAAGTAAAAGACCTAACTCCCAAGGCAGAAGAAAGAAAACCAAAGAAGAAAAAGAAAAGGGGAAGAGACAGAAAGAGAAGGAGAAAAAAAGAATCAAGACAAGTCACAGATGTTCTGAAGTGTGAACATTTTACAGTGTAATGTGAAAGAAAGTCATCTACAGAGACAAAGCCAGAAAAGTTATGTATAAGGGAGGATTCAAACAGACAGCGACTGTGAGAGTTAAAAGTAGGGTAGACAGTTTTAGCAGAAGACAAGTCAATAGGATAACTGTGATCTCTGACATGACAGAAAAGAGCATTGTTGGTGTCGGCAACCCTAACACTACTTTTCTGCTTCTTGAGTCTGTCAGAAAGAGAACAGCCAGTTTCTCCAAATTACTGAAGAGGACAAGATGAACATGAAATAAAGTAAACACCAGGAGCAACTATAGAGGGAGGAGAGGTACGAACTCGATTGGTGCGAAGTGTGTTAGTCTGGCGTAAGGAACGGAGATCGTTGTTGACATTAGGAAGACTGGAAATATATGGAAGGCAGAAAGCAGGTTTCCCAAGAGTAGTCTGTTTAGCACGTGAGAAGGCAGAGTTTATGAAATGGGAAGATTAGCCAAGACGAGAGAATGAATTACGAAGAGTGGAAATTTCCGATTCAAGGAACTGAGGGTCACAAATGCAGAGAGCACAGAGAAAAAGACAAATAAGAACACTTTTCTTGACAGAAGAAGCATGATAAGAAAAATAGTGAATGTACATGCCACTGTACATTCACTACTTTTGCAATACACGGAAAAAACAAAACCTACAGTATCCGAGCGATAGACATGAACATCAAGGAAAGGAAGCAAAGAATTGGATTCCCATTCAGCTTTAAATTTAATGGAAGGGGCAAAATTATTAAGAGCACTGAGAAATGGTTGGAAGAAACTAGAGTCATGAGGCCAAACAGATGTCATCTACATAGCGGAGCCAGAGGGAAGGGCGCACACCAATAGTAGAAAGAAGAATAGTTTCAATTATTCCATATAAAGGTTAACAAGTACAAGAAATACCTAATGATGTCTTTCTTGATCTTATTCGCCTTTGTGTGAACTCAAATTCCTTTTCCTTCCAAGGCAAATATTATTCTCAAACCTTCGGTGTCGTTATGGGCTCTCCTCTGTCTCCTGGGGTGTCTTTGTCAACAGGTCGCTCCTGTCTGTCTCAACTATTGGACCACTACGACAAGGTCCTAAATGCACTAGAAGACAAAAAGAATGCAGATGTAATATATACAGACTTTGCAAAAGCCTTCGACAAGTGTGACCACGGCGTAATAGCGCACAAAATGCGTGCTAACGGAATAACAGGAAAAGTCGGTCGATGGATCTATAATTTCCTCACTAACAGAACACAGAGAGTAGTCGTCAACAGAGTAAAGTCCGAGGCAGCTACGGTGAAAAGCTCTGTTCCACAAGGCACAGTACTCGCTCCCATCTTGTTCCTCATCCTTATATCCGACATAGACAAGGATGTCAGCCACAGCACCGTGTCTTCCTTTGCAGATGACACCCGAATCTGCATGACAGTGTCTTCCATTGCAGACACTGCAAAGCTCCAGGCAGACATCAACCAAATCTTTCAGTGGGCTGCAGAAAACAATATGAAGTTCAACGATGAGAAATTTCAATTACTCAGATATGGTAAACATGAGGAAATTAAATCTTCATCAGAGTACAAAACAAATTCTGGCCACAAAATAGAGCGAAACACCAACGTCAAAGACCTGGGAGTGATCATGTCGGAGGATCTCACCTTCAAGGACCATAACATTGTATCAATCGCATCTGCTAGAAAAATGACAGGATGGATAATGAGAACCTTCAAAACTAGGGAGGCCAAGCCCATGATGACACTCTTCAGGTCACTTGTCCTATCTAGGCTGGAATATTGCTGCACACTAACAGCACCTTTCAAGGCAGGTGAAATTGCCGACCTAGAAAATGTACAGAGAACTTTCACGGCGCGCATAACGGAGATAAAACACCTCAATTATTGGGAGTGCTTGAGGTTCCTAAACCTGTATTCCCTGGAACGCAGGAGGGAGAGATACATGATTATATACACCTGGAAAATCCTAGAGG